AGACTGGATTTTACTGCAGCATCAACTGAGGAATTTTTCACAGGCACCATAATCCACCAGAAAATCACCTTAAGCAGCATCTACTCCATGAAAGTACCCTTGAGAAATCTGTCCCTTCATCTGGGGTCTCATCCAACCCTACCCCAGCCAAAACACCCGACTGTATGTTCCCTAAAACAGGGCAGCTGAAAAACCGCGGACAAAGGAATTCCAGACCTGGCCTGAAGGAAGGCAGATGTCAACGAGCTGCTTGACAACAAAATCTCCTCAGAAATTATTTCAGCCCCTGCTCAGGTCTCCAAACTAGCAATCACAAAAGTTCTTAAGAAAACAGGGGGTCCATAAATCATTCCCTGCTTCCCAAGGTGATGGACAAACTTCCCGAGTCACAGTAGAGCAAATCCCTAGCTCCCCAGTTTTATACTGCCCCATTCAAATAGATAAAAGTTGCTTGTGTTGGATCAAGCCTGGAATTTGGTCCTCTTCATTTAACCTTCCAATGTATTCAGATTATGATTTTATTTTCCCCAACCACCTTTTTAAGAGCTGTTCTTCCCCAGCCAACTGAGCTCAATGGCAAATCCCCAATAACTGCAAATAGATTTGGGATTTCCTCCATCCAGACCCATTTCAAAAGCAGGATGTTCAGCTAAAAAAGGGTAAACTTGAAATTTTGGGGTAGATTTTTTTATCTTTCCATTATAAGCTACTCATTTTTCATAACTCATTTTCAGCATTAATAATGATAATAATTAAAAATCCCCTTTGATTAAGCACTGCTTGTTTCACCAACTGGAGTTTTTGATAACTGGAAGATAAGGAGAACATAATGTTTAGGACTTGTTTTGCATTTCTCCACATCCGGCATAAATGAGTCAGTCACACAGAATAGAAGCTTGTTAAAAAACAGATGACGGGTGCAACAATTATTTCTGTGGGTTTTTATTTCTTTTAATAGAAAATTCTAATATAAAACAGCAAACGTTTTCAGTTTGCCTTGTTTACAAAAATATTATATATATTTTTTTTTATATTTCTGACATAACTAAAATGCACTATTCAATAAAAATATTCTTCCATCAGCTAACTTCTCTTTTTAAAAAAATTAATAAAAAAGTTATATAAATAATGGTTGCACCCCCCCACCCCAAAACTGATCTGGCTGGATCAGCTTAGGAGAACCAACACTTTGACACTTTTGGGGGGACAGGGGGTGAAAGGGGGTCAGGAACCGGAGATCTCCCCTCCACCCATTTGTCCTTCTCCAGTTACATCTGAGCAAAATCCTATTTCTCTGGGGATAAGAAAAAGGGGGAAAGTTGCTTTGCACTTTTTTTTAATATTTATATATATATATATGAAATGACACCATGAAAAAGTTCAGGGACCCAAAGCCACCGCTGAAGTAGTTTTACAAAACCAGGCAATTTCACTGAATTGCACTGGAGATCCAATGGTGTGGTGGCAGGATCAGCCTCTCTGGAAAAATCCAGTTTAATCCAGCTGGGACAGAAAGGGTTTTACAGGACACTCCCCAGTGTTTTATACAGGAGTTCCCACTCTTGTGGATGGAGTAGCACTCATGCTCCATGAGTTAATTCAACTCCAACGCATCTCTCACCATCAGAAAACCCAGGCCTAGCACTCCAAAGGGATTTGGGATGGTTTGACAGATTCTCTCCCAGCTCTGACTTAAGCTCCACTGGATTTTTCCAAAAGGAGGCTTTTGCCCCAATTCCTTCTTCAACGATAAGGCAAACATTGGAAAATGCTGGAACTAAAGACCCCCCACCCAAAACACACCCACAGCGTGGTGCAGGGGGCAGAAGAAAAATAACCCACATTTGTTTTACCACCCTAGGTCAAAAGGCCAAGAAGACAAGTTCTCCTGATTTCAGAGTGTTAGTATATTTTATACACTGCCTATACATTTAACACATGTGCCTCGCTACTATTTAGTTATTTATAATTTTTTTTTAACCACAGGAGAATAAACCTTGCTATTTACAATATATAACAGGCAAGTACTATATCCACATGAACATAAATACAATTTGTGGTGTTTTTTTTTTTTTTCTTGTTATTCATTTTTTTGTAATTCTTTTTGTCTTTTTTTTTTCTTTTTTGTCTTTTTTTTTTTTTTTAAATACTTACAGAAAGCATCCAGGCTTCAGTGCGTGAGTTATAATACACAGAAGAGCTCTTTCACTCAGTAGTTCATTCACTCTTTGCTGCTTCCTTTTAGACAAGCTTGGACAATCTGCCTGATTTCCCACCCATCTCTCTCTCCCCCACACTGCTGAACGCACCAAGCTTCCCTACCCCATCCCATCCCATCCCAGCATTTTTCTGGCCAGGATATCCATGCCAACACTCCCCTCTCTTCTGCTTCTAGGGACTCATTCTCCTCTCACACCAGTGCAATGTGGAGTTACTCCAGCGAGGTCAATGGAGACAGAGACACCAGTGAAAAGGAGGAAAATGAGGCCCATGGTTTAAATATAACAATAATAATAATAATAATTAATAATAATAATAATAATAATGCACATAAATTGCAGCCCATCCTTTAATTAAGAACAGATTAGAAAAAAAGAAAGAATGGAGCCAGAAATAGTAATTCAGACCCCAAAGTTCCTGTTTTGAGCAGGTTTGGATCTGGCTTTACTTTGAAGGGGAAGAGCTATTCTAGAACACACAAAAATGTAACAGTGAGTTTGCACATATGTGTGAGAGAGAGAGACAAAGGGAGAAAGAGAATTTAACATAATACCACATTGAAACCATAAGAAGGTCCTTCTGAAGGGCTTTACAATAAATAAATGTTCAATATTTATATATATATATATATATTTATGTGTCAAGGTGTGCACATATATCTATATATACACACTGAATAATAGGTTTCTAGGTGATTTATTTTTTTAAACCATTAGATAAACTGCTCAGGGGTGACTTTCCCAAAAGCTGTGAGACCTTCCTGGTGCTTTGCTGGGGTGGAAGGTGGGAATTCCACATGTGGATTCCACCTTCACTCCTCCAGCATTATCCCAACCTCCAGAATTGTACAGCAAATAAGGAAACACCAAAAAAGAGACATTTTGCTTCCCTCTGCAGAGCCATGGTGCTATTAAACAGCAACACCCTGTCCCTCCCCCCTGCCCCCTCCTCAAGATTTGATGCCAATGAGCCAGGCTGGACTGCAGGTGTTTGTTACTAGGAAAACCCCAAATCTATCTTTTCTCTTCCCAGTAGATGCATATGAACAGCTTAAATATTAGTGGCTACAATTAGGGGGGGAAAAATTAAAATTAAATAAAAATAAGGAAAAAAATACTTTGAAAAATAACGGTTCATCTTGGGAAATTGCTCTCTTTTTTTTTTACTGATTTTTACTAATGCTTGAGAATCTCCTCTTTTGAACACCAGATCAATGGCTTATATAAACTCAGTGGAAATTGCTACTACTGGACAATCAAAAATTGCTACCAAAAATCAAACAAAACACCCTCTGCTCCCCATTTTTTCCTTAGAAAGCTTCATTCAGGCAATTCACTGGCTGCCTCCAATCCACTTTTATACGAAGAATATTGGCATGCCAAGTCCTGGATTGTAAATCTCCTCTTCCAAGCAAAAAAGAAATGCTGGAGGTTGTCATGTGTTTCACAGCCTTGGAGTGATCAACCCCTGCAGTCAAATTTCTGGCTTCTCTCAGGTTGTCTCTGTGTCGATCGGTTATTCCAAATCCATGAGTTTGTTAGGATTTAGCAGGTGTGTTTTTAAAGTACAGTTCTCGATCTAGTGGTTAAAAAAAAAAAACAAAAACCAAAATCATCTTAAGGTCATAGGGTTTACATACAGCTTGTGTCATGTACCACTGCCATGGTTTAGAGTAAATGGAATGATGACCTAGGAAAGAAAAGTCAACTCCTCCAGAGGTCTGATCCAGGCCAAAACGGCTGCTCCACAAGGCAAGACAGCCCCGGGTTCCAAGAGGCACTCGGATTCCTCTTGTCCTACTCAAGAGAAACACGTCCAAATTCAACTCAACGAGTTTCAGTTGGGATTTCTGAAGCAGTTACCACAGGTTGACCTCCATCAGCAAGAGGTGGGAAGAGGAGAGAAAAATAAATCATGTGCGAAGTGAAAATGAAACAAAAGTATCTAGTGGTTTAAAAAAAAAAAAAAAAAAGGTGAATTCAATTTAAGACAGCAATAGTGCTAAAGAGCCTGCATTTGGGTGAAGTGTTTTAAATAAAGAAGGGGATTGGACTGAAGGGGACAGGCACATCTGGTGTTCTGCTGTCTTCCCAACCTCTTTCTTGGATCTATTTCTGTCTGCAGCGTGGTGGACCCAACGTTTCCGAGCTGTACGTGGTGACGATGCACGATGCGGACACGGAGCTGTCATTAAAGAGCTGATGCTCCCGTGGGTCTCTTTGTCAGAGCCTGGTTTGCTCCATGTGCAGAAACTCCACTGGAAGAACCCATCAACCCCTACAAATCCCTCTCCAGTTTTAGGAGAAATAAATGTCCGCTTCCGGCACCACCGCACTCAAAGCGGAAAGATCTTTTGTGTCAGCTCTCTAAGCAGCTGGGTGAGCTCCAGGAATAAAGAAGTACAAGATATTCATGCCAAAGGGAATCTCTTAGCCCAGGAGTTCATGGAGGATGGCTGAAACAACGTTCCAAGGAGAAATGATCCATCAAACTACGTAGACGACGAAGGTGAAGGTCAACTGGTGTCTAACCCCAGTGTGACAGGCACTTATTTCCACATGGTTGGACCTCATGAAAATTCAGTCTACAGGATAAACAAAACAAAGAAACCAAAACAAAAAAAACCCCAAAACAAAACAGCAACACAGCTGGGTCACCTGTACCCTACAAAGTGCTTATGTCTCAACATAGCTTCCAGATGCCAGAAGGTCAATCAAACCCTGTTTGTCTCCATAGGCAGTTCTCCAAGCTGGCCCGTGCAGCAGGCGCCGCGGGTCATGTCAGTCCTTGCAGGTGTAAACCTCCTCCCTCTGGGTGCACTGCTTGCACTCCACGTAGCAGCACCAACGCACCTGGCACTGGCACGGGCGCGTCACCACCCGGCTCTGCGTGTTGTGGCCCCGGCCGCAGCAGATGCTGTCGCAGTTCTTGTCCTTGTAACACTTCCGTCCCGAGGTGCCGGGGGAATAGCGACTCATCAGGCAGAAGCTCGGGGAGTCGTCAATGTAGACGAGATCCGTAGTCCTTGGGATTTGATCGCTGTGGCCGGGGATGGATTTTTTAGGGGGGGAAATGTCGCCTTCCCCCGTGGCCTCGTTGGTGGTGCTGCCCACCTTGAGCGAGGTCTCGTACTTCTGCTTCAGCTGCTTGCCGATCTCGTGGAAGGGGGAGAGCTGCCTCCAGCACGTCCGGACGGTGCAGGAGCCGGACACGCCGTGGCATTTGCAGGTGGTCTCCACGCCGGCTTTGATGACCTGCAGACACACACACGGCCCCAAAGAGAATCAGTCATCAAAGCATCAAGTAAAACATGACATTTTCTAGAAGACGCTTCAGGGACACCAAGTTGAAGACAATACCAAAAAATATCTGTTGGAAGCAGACAGAAAACGCATCCTACAGGATATACTTCAAGAGGTCTCAGTTCCCAGACTATGACATTCACCTGCAAAAACTTTGCTTAATTGGCTAATTAAAGATATCGAAAAGGTGCACAAAGATTGTCCAGTGCTGCCACTCATCGTGTAGATAGAGATCTGAAATTGTGATACAACTAAGAGATTAATACATATTTTAACACCTATTTATCTTTGTCAATAATAAGTAGGTAAGATATAAAAGTGGAAGAAATGGAAAGAGGTGGGGTGGCACATGCTCCAGAACAGAAATGTGGATGATAGGAACCTTCTCCATACCACAGGACCCCAAACCTAAGTACAAGAAGCAATCTTAGTTTAGCACCATCCGCTGACTGATGCTAAACAAAGGATCCCATTCTTTTCAAATCAACTCCAATAAAGAAGTTTCACAGCACAAAACAACATCCATCTACGTAGAAGCAGCATTGTAATGTTCCAGCTCCCCTTCTCCAGAGAGAGATTTACACCTGGAGCACCTCCATGGGCAACACATGAGCAGAGATGTTATTTGGACAGCCACAGATACCCCACATTTTGCCCACAGATTATAAACACAAATTTGTATTTCTAATTCTCTCACCCTGCCCCTTCCCCAAAATTAGGTTCTGTTGACTTTAAATGGGTAAGGTACAACCACCCCTTAAAACAGCAGGTGAGGACAGAGTTTGTTTGACAGAGCTGGGTCCTGACAAGGCACCAAAGTACTGTTGAAAGTGCCCTTCCTTTGGGCATCTACGGTACCTAAAAAAGAAGAAAACAACCTCCCCCCGTGCCCATGATGGCATCTGGCTCTGCTGTGGCCTCCTGACAGCAGAGGACTGGCTGCAGTCCATTTCCTGACCATCCGGTTCTTAATTATTTGGCTGCACAAATCCTGCTGAGCCCCATGTGCAACCGTGCAATAGGTCATGGACTCGGAATTGGGGCCTGGCCCAATTGTGATATTCCAGAAACATTTTTAGAAAGACAATATGCATAATGCAGCCTTCAGCAGAGCCTGTCCAATGGTCACACTTCATTCCTGTGACAGCCAAAGACCTTTGCAAGTGCAATCCAATAATACACAGTAGCATTCAGAGCGGTGGCGGGTTACAGGGGGAGATGTGTTGCTGGTTATAGCGCTCAGCTGGGATGGCTTGGGTAAGGGCTGTCACGCTTTGTGTGCCAAAGTGTCTCGCCAAGTCCACAAGAAATCCCACAATGTCAGACAAGAGCGTGCAGAACACATTTCAACACCGAGGGGGAGGGGGGAAAACCCCAACCCTCACCCGTCCCCTCCCTCATGTAAAGTCCCGTTTCACTGCTTGTCCAGAAGTGAGGGCTGAGTTCGTGTGAAACAAAGCTCCTCCACCTGATTTCACGCCCACACCATCAGCAAACCGGGCAGAAATTGCTGGGATACTTGGGAAAGGGCTGCACACTGCAGTCATTCATCACTTCAGGCTTTCCTCAACCTTTCCTCCTCCCCCAGCGCATTTGCATCTGCTCCACCTGGAAAAGGAGACAACCCCCATTGCCCAGGAGTTGGGAAAGCAAGAAACCAACGGGAACTGGCTCAGCTTGTAGTCCTGCTCCTGGGCTTGGAGCTGATTGAACAAGACAGGGTCATGAAACTCAGGAAGGGAACCTGGAGTCGGGGCTGTTCTTGTCAGGAGCCACCTCTCTGGAGCTCTGCGGGAGTGCTGACGTTGCAGGAGCACTGCAGCCAAGGCGTCCACGTGGGGCTGGTGGATACAGCCCAACACGTGTTGGAAAACCTGATCCTGACGGACTGGCAGCTGGCTGATGGCACAGGACCTTCAGTCAGGTGTAAGCATGTAGGTTTAGGCACTTGAATCGCACCAGCCAGCCAGGGTTGACCTCACCGAGGCAAACACTCGAGTTTAAACACCTCAGTTCGAGAAACACCTCAGAACTCTCATCGCAGTCGGGGCAGCCAAAGCAGGGCAGGACCCTGCAGTGAGGCAAACACCTGCTCCACTGAACAGCTCTCCAGGCTCCCACTGACAGCTGAGCACATCTCTATCACCAACAGGAGCCTGGGGACCCAGCCCACACAGAGGCACCTCAGTTCAGGGGAGTCTGTGAGCAGAATCCTGCCCTTTGGGCCAAACTCAGGTGTTTAAATATCTCCACCTAGCACTAACTGAGGTGCTTTAAAACATTCTCCTCACGCCAGCTGTCCCTCCAGCAGCATAAAGGTCCCTCAAGGGGTACTAATTAGTGTATTTGGGTAGATTAATTTTATTCTCATCTGGGCTCAAACAAGTTCCACATGAGCCCCAGTGTGGATTTTCCTGACTCGCTTCTAGCTCCTTGTTAAGCAGTGGCTGGGACAGCTCTGCTGGACCAAAGCATGAAAGGTTTCCATTGCCCATGTCCCCATGAATGCAGCAGTTTATGAAATTCAGCGTGGATTTTCCTGTGGCTGCCGTGCAAGCGCGGTGCCTCCCAACCGCCCCGTAAAGCTTCTCCTGGAAGGACCGGGAAGGGCTCAAGAATGTTACGAGGCAGCAAGAGTGAAAATCCTAGAAAAATTCCCTGCCCAGGCAGCCTCCCCTGCTGCTGTCAGTCACGCTGCAGCTCCTCGAGGCGCTGCGTGATGGGGAACTGCTGCCTGCAGCCCCAGCCACCCACGAGCCAAAATGAATCTTGGCAAAGCCCTTCAGGTTCCCGTCCCGCTCCCCAGCTTCCACAACGACCTTTCCTCCTCTTGTTGCAAGCTCCTGTCAGAGACACTTAAATCCACCTCATTTCTTCAGGAAGCAGAGCAAGACTGATCCAAGTCAGCAGGTTGCTTGGAGAAAGCTTTGCTGGCTGGATCCTAGGACAAATGTCTGGATCATGCTTTCAAACCTGAAGGTCTTCTATCCTTCTTCCAGGATAGAAAAACACAGGTTTTTTTTTTCCCAAAAAAGTCTTGGTCAGATGAGGAAGAATAAGGTTTTACCATATAAAATCATATTTCAAGAGCTGTAGCAGCTCCTGCTTTCTTTTCAGGGCTCATCACAGTTCAGAGCCTGATTTACCTCCATCCTCCACAGACCTGAACCTGTCCTGAGCTCACCACTGAATAATCACTTCATCCACACCAAGAGTGGCCACCTGCACCTTTGTCACAGATGTGAAGCAGAGTGGCTCAGCTTCCATCCAAGGCACAAAATATTTCATGCTCCCCATGGCCCCAACTCCACAGATACCAGACAGCAGCAGTGTTGTAGTAACTCAGGAGTAGCAGCAAGAAGGAGCATCATTTTTGTACTGTGTGCTCTAGAGAGCTCCTACCATGAAAACAAAGCCAAACAAAGACAAGCGGTGGGTCAGGGGTGGCATCACACATGGGAATTCTGTCCTCCCACTCTTCTCTGAACAACCACCTGGTCTGGCAGTATCAAACAGAACAGTTTGGGAGGAAAATAAGGATTTTTAGCTTGACTTAGGAACACAAATTCCCACTGACCTTGCCGTGAGAACACCCAATACTGACCAACACAGAATGAGGGAAACACAAAGCAAGACAGAACCATTTTTTCCTGGGGTTTTCCTGCTCGGAGGAAACCAGATAGCTCTGCTGGACTGCCTTCCCAACTGGCTTTACATGGGGAAAAGGGATCACAGCAGAGCATTGCTATGCAACATGTAATCCTTCCTCCCAACAATGGTGCACCGCGAAGCTCAGACTGAGTGCCCCCGTCATGATCAGTCTCAGACATGCTGCAACACACAATTTCTCAGTGTTTTAGCTGAAACGCCGAGGACAGGATTCCCATTCATTCCCAGCTGGGTCACGGGGCTCTGGCAGTGGGGTTTTTTTTTTTTGGTTTTGTTTTTTTTTTTTTTTTCAGACAACTCTTGTCTGGGCAGCAGCAGCCCAGGGCGGACACCCGGCCGTGGGAATTCCGCGCTCATTGCTCCGCTGTCGTCATGGCTGGGCTGCGGCTCCAGGGCTTCAAACCATTCGCTATGGTTTGGGGGAGAGGAGGCAGCAAACCCTCCTCGCAGGCAGCTCATCCAGGGAAAAGCCTTGCCTGGCTTTGGGAAGGGCTTTGGGATGCTTCCCCACAAATCCAATCCCCTCCGTCGCCCCGTACACGGAGCCCTCTCCAATTTAAATAGGCTTAGTCATTCTCCCAGCTCAAGTATTAACGTTTGTTTGGACAGCAGCCACGGTCCCCACACACAAGCAGTGGACCAGACTTGTCCCTTCACACTGGCCAATGCCACTGGCTGAGCTATAAAACTTTCACAGATTGCTAGAAGTTGTCCTTTCTTTTTTCTTCTACCTTGTTAAAAAAAACCCCTTCTTTTCAGGCTGTTCTCAACCTGCTGTTTCAGAACAGTTTTCCCCTCCCACCAGCCTTCCCTCTTTAAAAAATGGGAACATTCATATTTCTGTGACATAGGTATTAAAACACAAACATTTAAGCATAGAACAACATAACCCTACTTAAAACTGAGAACTTCAGAAGTATTTTCCCCATGCTCAGTATTCCTAGCATGCTTCCCATGCTAAAAAAGCTCCACATAAACAACCAACTGCAATCACTTATGGGACACAGCAAGCAATTTTTTTTCCAGAGTATTGATTTCCAGGCCTAAGAAAGGCTTTGGCTGAGCCATTCTCAGCCTGAAAGAAGTGGAAAATCCAGAGAGCACGCCTGGGCATTCCTACCTGTCATAACCTGCAGCAATTAATACCAGTGGTGGCCCTGAAAACTGATCTGTACATTAAGAGCTCTTCTCAGGCTGTTATTTGCTGGGTTTGATTTGTACCTTGGTAAACATGTGATGCCCCATTTCTCACTGCAAACACATCCCTAAAAAACAGCCAAGAA